AATCTTTTCTTCTACTACTACCCGTGACCACTTGCAAGCCTGCATGAAATCTGGCTTAGGGAATTTACTGCTTGCTGGCTCTGAACCGATTAAGCAACTCCTTAAGTTCGTGCGTCTCGCCCGTGGCATCCACTCAGCCTCACTCGCTCTACAGGGTTGTTGTGAGGCTAAAACGGAGGAGGGAGAAATGTGTAAGCCCTTCTGTGTCCGCATTTGGGAAGCAAAGTAAGAGCAATAAATGTCATTTTATGAAACCTCTCATCAAGATTGCTTTCGGAGGATATTAAACGAAGGTGACTTTGTCTCCCGAATGTCAAGTTATAATAAAAGAAGCCGTTGCCAGGAGAGAAGAAAAACGCATCTGTATTTTCATTAAATTTATGAAGCGGGCGACGCTGCGGCCCTCCCAGGTTTGCAGATCTTAGCGGATGAATCACGAAGCCCGCAGAAGCTCGACAGCAGAGCCGTTCCGGCTTCTCAGTCAGACAATTATCTTAAGCCTCCAAGGCATGTTGCTTCTTTGCTATACTGGCAGCGCTGAAATTCGCCGGGCGAGGACAACTGGAGGAAAGAATGTGGGGGTCTGGCATGCAGAATCCTGGGGCTTTGTCTTCTCAGCGCCAGGAAGGTGTTGCAGGTAGCCGTGTCGGTCCGTATTAAAACTCAGAACCGGCAGCGTCGCCCTGTGCTTTTTACTCGGCCCAGTTAAAGCACCACAGAGCTGGTGCACGAGAGTTGCAGGTAACACGAAAGGCTGCGAGTTAATTTACGGCTGGGTCTCATCCCACGGACGCGGCTCTTCAAACAGCAGCCCCCTTCCCTCAGTGCAAGAGGCTCCTCTTGAGTCTGGGGGGGGAGGTTCCTCGCCCCAGTGGAGAAGCACCGCCCATTAGTGGAATGGATCCACGGGGGTCCAACTCTTTGCAGCGGTCGGATTGGCGCTCATGGGAATTACCCACACTGCCGTGACCTGGGTAGCCCAGACAAGTCAGATCTCGGAAGCTAAGCAGGGCCGACTCTAGCAAGGACTTGGATGGGAGACCTCCTCGGAATACCGGAGGCGGGGGCAGGCTTTATTCAAGCACCTCGCTGAATAGCCTCCAGGTGTCAAGCGTAAGGCCCGGGGGCCAGATCCGGCCCGTCCAGGGCCCTTGTTTGCCCCGTGAGCAACTGACGCGAAGGAGAAAGTGCCGTGGGGGGAGTGGGCAGATCCACTCCATTGCGGTTTCAGCACGGCAGAACAACCTCATCTGCAGCAGTCAAGCATCGTGGGAGCACAGACATTTTGGTGCAATAATTCAGAGCAAGAGGTGTCAGTTATCAGGCAGTGTTAAATCAACAAAATATTGCAAGAGTGCTAATGTTTTAAGCATGTTTTTATTTTAAGTTAAAAAAACACCCTTTGTGTCCTTTATAAAGTTTACATTGTATGACACACATGGCCCGGCCCAACAAGGTCTCATTTAGGTCAGATGCGGCCCTCGTAACAAATGAGTTCGACACCTCTGCTCCAGGCCCTCCATAAGGGTCAGTCCCCACAGATCACCATGACCTCCGGGTGCACGCACTCTTAAATGCACATGGGCGCGTGCACACACACACACACACACGGGGAGGGGAATTTAAACCCAAAAAAACATATCTACACCGCATCACAACACCTGTGCTTTGGAGGAAGCTGAGGGAGGGGAGGCGCTTGCTTCGTTACCCGCTCTCATTTCCCCTTCTTCTCATGGCCTTCCGTTCAACCGATTGTACTGGTTGCACTGCAGAGATCCCCCAATACGGCTCGCTGCCGCCAATCAGAAACCTTATTTCTACCTAAGGGACTGCCTCCCGCAGGGAATTCGGGTTTTGGATTTTTTTGTAAAGCCAGAGGCAGCACAGGGAAGCCAGGAGTTCCACTTATTCACTTTATCTGTAGTCCGCCTTTCCCACCGAGACTCAAGGCACATTACAATAGAGAAAAAACAATTCAGTCGAGCAGCATAAGCTATCCGATGCAATGAAGAATAAGGGGGGGGGCAGTACTTCTTCACCCAAAGAGTGATTGACATATGGAATTTACTGCCACAGGAGGTGGTGGCAGCTACAAGCTTGGACGGCTTCAAGGGGGAATTGGATAAGCATATGGAGCAGAGGTCCATCAGTGGCTATTAGCCACAAGGTATAGATAGGAACTCTCGGTCTGGGGCAAGGGATGCTCTGTGTTCTTGGTGTTTGGGGGGGGGGGGCAACAGTGGGAGGGCTTCTAGGGTCCTGGCCCCACTGGTGGACAATGTTCCCTCTAAGCTGTGGAGTCTTCTGAGCAAAAGTTCTACTTTGTGAGCTCCTGGCATCAAAGTTGTGAGCAAGTGATTTGGCTGCTGCATCAATTAGTTTGCTCTGCAGCCATCTTTCCTGAGCCTAAGACAAAACTGTGTGAGCCAGAGGCTAAAAAACTGTGAGCTAGCTCACACTAACTCAGCTTAGAGGGAACACTGCTAGTGGACATCCTGAGGGCCCCTGGTATTTCTGGCCACTGTGTGACACAGAATGGTGGACTGGATGGGCCATTGGCCTGATCCAACATTGCCTTCTCTTATGGGGGGGGGGGAGAATGTGCCCTCAAGTCGAGAGGCCAAATTTCGTTCTCGGTCGTGCGCGGCCGATGTTCTTCTCTTGGGGAGGGTGCGGGTTTTTTTAAAGCTTGTTACATGCGTTTATCTTTCCCGTAACGCAGTCCGAGGCGAGCCACTAATCTGGTACCAGCGCATGTAAACCTCAGACAATAGGAGCAAAGACACGCATCGGGAGGTGTCATATTGCCTCAGCACCAGCCGATGGTATCTCTGCTCCCTACCTTTCCAAAGGATATTGCAAACGCGGAGCTCGCCCAGGGGTGGGTGGCAGCGCTAAAGGGTTTGGGGGGAGGGTTTAAATCAGAACGAGAGAAGAAGGAAATCAGTCTCTCTCTTTTTTCCCCCCTTTTTTTTAATTGGTATTTCAAAAATACACAAGATTAAAGCGATAGCAGTGCAGCTTACATACAAATTAATCAACTTGTCGTACATAAAGTATTGTTGTTTTCGTAATTACAGTATTAGATACTATATATTATTGTTAGTCTCCATGTGAACTCTTAAGTTTGTGTTTGGTATCTCTTCTATATTATCTAGTTTTATTTGAATGTTTTGTGACACTGTAGTGACTGTGTTATTCAAGTGCGAATTAAATTAAGGTAGATCGGATTGTGTGGCTGGATGTCAGCACAACAATATAACTCATTCATTTATAGAATTTGTAACAGTCTCTTTTTTTAAAAAAAGAGCAAAAACAAAACCTTTTCATTTATAGAACAGACAGAGAGTGCCTGGTCTCTGCTCCCCCCCAAAAAATTGGAGGGGAACAGATATGAAAGGTGTCCTTGGCCCCAGAATTTTCCGGGAGCCTTTCTAATCGTGCCACAGCTCCAGGCACCAACGATGTGTGGGTTTTTCCCCCCACCCCATCATCTTCTTTATATTTATTTACGTTATTCATCGTCTGCCTTTCTCATTTGAACTCAGGGCCGATTAGATGGAGCAAGTCTGTACAGTCGGCATTCTGTAAACAAGCCTGGCCGGGAGGGTGGGGTAAAAATCTAATAAATAAAAACCCAATAAATAAAAATCTAATAAATAAATAAAGCAATGCAATGGGCATTAGGGTCGTAGAGGCAACCAGAAATCTAAAAACAGAACGGAAGCAAAGCAGGAGTGTTAACATGGCCCATTGAATGATGCAAACATTCCATAGAAGGTTCCTGGTTTCAGCAAGCTATACATAGGTAAAGGTAAAGGTTCCCTTGCTCGAAAGCCAGTCAAGTCCGACTCTAGGGCCCATAGAGTTTCTACACCTCCACTGGCAGGCCACGGTCTTCAACCCTTGGGGAATCACAGAATCCCACCTGCTAGGTATTGCGCCCCATAGAGTTTCTACACCTCCACTGGCAGGCCACGGTCTTCAACCCTTGGGGAATCACAGAATCCCACCTGCTGGGTATTGCGCCCCATAGAGTTTCTACACCTCCACTGGCAGGCCACGGTCTTCAACCCTTGGGGAATCACAGAATCCCACCTGCTAGGTATTGCGCCCCATAGAGTTTCTACACCTCCACTGGCAGGCCACGGTCTTCAACCCTTGGGGAATCACAGAATCCCACCTGCTGGGTATTGCGCCCCATAGAGTTTCTACACCTCCACTGGCAGGCCACGGTCTTCAACCCTTGGGGAATCACAGAATCCCACCTGCTAGGTATTGCGCCCCATAGAGTTTCTACACCTCCACTGGCAGGCCACGGTCTTCAACCCTTGGGGAATCACAGAATCCCACCTGCTGGGTATTGCGCTCCATAGAGTTTCTACACCTCCACTGGCAGGCCACGGTCTTCAACCCTTGGGGAATCACAGAATCCCACCTGCTAGGTATTGCGCCCCATAGAGTTTCTACACCTCCACTGGCAGGCCACGGTCTTCAACCCTTGGGGAATCACAGAATCCCACCTGCTAGGTATTGCGCCCCATAGAGTTTCTACACCTCCACTGGCAGGCCACGGTCTTCAACCCTTGGGGAATCACAGAATCCCACCTGCTAGGTATTGCGCCCCATAGAGTTTCTACACCTCCACTGGCAGGCCACGGTCTTCAACCCTTGGGGAATCACAGAATCCCACCTGCTGGGTATTGCGCCCCATAGAGTTTCTACACCTCCACTGGCAGGCCACGGTCTTCAACCCTTGGGGAATCACAGAATCCCACCTGCTGGGTATTGCGCCCCATAGAGTTTCTACACCTCCACTGGCAGGCCACGGTCTTCAACCCTTGGGGAATCACAGAGTCCCACCTGCTGGGTATTGCACCCCATAGAGTTTCCATTTGGAGGGAAGAAACGCCTCCTCGTGTGCAATTCACGTGCAGCACCTGCCTCATGAACGTCAGCCCCATTGTGTTAATTCTTTGCTTTCTCTATCCCCAATCCAGGATCTTCATCATTTGGGCCATCAGCAGTTGGTTCCGTCGTGGGCCGGCACCACAGGACCAGACCACCGCTGGCGGGGCACCCCGGGCGCCGAGCCGCAACCTTTTCCCGAAAGACACTTTAATGGTGAGCATGGCGGGGACTCAACGGAGCTGGCCCCCAGGGCTGGCAACCAGGCATCGACTCGACACGTATAGCCCCCAGCCAGTGCTCCCTCTGAGCTGCGGAGTCTTGTGAGCAAGAATTCTACTTTGTGAGCTACTGGCATTAAAGTTGTGAGCGAGCGATTTGGCTGCTGCATCAATTAGCTTGTTCTGGAGCTATCCTTCCTGACCTAAGACAAGAATGTGTGAGCCAGCGGGGACAAAACGGTGAGCTTGCTCACACTGACTCAGCTTAGAGGGAACACTGCCCCCAACCATTGCTTGGAAGCATTATCCGGGTTGTCACCAATGTTCCCTCTAAGCGGTGGAGTCTTATGAGCAAAAATTCTACTTTGTGAGCTACCGGCATTAAAGTTGTGAGTCAGTGATTTGGCTACTGCATAAATTAGTTTGCTCTGGAGCAGTGTTCCCTCTAAGCTGAGTTAGGGTGAGCTAGCCCACAGTTTTTTTAGCCTCCGGCTCACACCCTTTTGTCTCCGCTCAGGAAGGAGGGCTCCAGAGCAAACTAGTTTATGCAGCAGCCGAATTGCTCGCTCACAGCTTTAGTGCCAGCAGCTCACAAGGTAGAATTTTTGCTCACAAGACTCCACAGCTTAGAGGGAACATTGCTCTGGAGCCATCCCTTCCTGAACTAAGACAAAAATGTGTGAGCTGGAGGCTAAAAAACTGTGAGCTAGCTCACACTAACTCAGCTTAGAGGGAGCACTGGTTGGCACACTGGATCGTAAAACCTCTGTGCCCGGGTAGTTGCGATTCTGTGTGCAAATCATGCCAAACGGGCAAAGTACAATAAACAAAACTGGGGCCGCAGTGGATTAAAACTGCCAAAGGACAACACTCACCGTGATGAGTAAAACTTTAATGTATTTTGCCAAAAGTTATACATGTGTACAATACATACGTTACTTAAACAATTCTACTATAAAGGTTTTTAACCATATATTTGAGGATCCTGCAGCTAGAAAATAAGTTATATAGTTGCAAGATCCTCCGATATATGGTAAAAATCTGAAAAGTAGAATTGTGTAAGTAATGTACGTATTGTGTACATGTATAACTCTCGGCAAAATACAATCAGTAAAAAGTGACATGTTTTGCTTAGCGTATTCTGCCACATGTTTCTGTTTGATGTTCTGATTCCGTTGCTCGGGGAAAGAGCTGGAATGTCCCACACACACACACACACACAAGTCCTCCAGTCAACAACCCCCCACTGGTGGACCTCCTGATGGCACTGGTATTTCTGGCCACTGTGTGACACAGAGTGTTGGATGGGATGGGCCTTTGGCCTGATCCAACATTGGCGTCTGTTATGTTCTTATGTTCTTAAGCAGTAAAAAGTGACATGTTTTGCTTAGCGTATTCTGCCATATGTTTCTGTTCGATGTTCTGATTCCGCTGCTCAGGGAAGGAGCTGGAATGTCCCACAAACACACACAAGTCCTCCAGTCAACAACCCTTGAAAGCTCTATCTAGCAATTCCTCTGGATTTCGTGGTTTCTATAGGCACTGCCCGTCTCCTATCGCACACAAATATTTCTTCACTATAAGGACTAGAAACTTGATGGCTGCATTTCTGTTTGTGAATAGAAATACTGCGATTCTGAATTTAGAAGGGGCAGGCCAGCCAAATATCGTGTGTGTGTGGTGTTTTTTGTGCTCCTTAGGTATCGCAGTTCGCTCACATCCTTAGGTCAGAAAGAGACGGGGGAAATCGTGGAGGAGAGTTAGCAGAGTCCTGCGTTGATTCCAGCCTTGGGCGTGGGCTGCTGGCTTTGGATCAAACCTCTGCTCCTTCCCCCCCCACAGGATCTTTATGTCTATATCTCAGAGCACGAGCACTTTACAGATTTCAACACCTCCAAGTCGCTGTTCTGGGAGAAGCGGGATCTCGTCTACGGGGACTGGACCAGTGGCGAGAATTTCGACGGGTGCTACGAGCACTACGCTGAGCTGGACGTCCCCGAGGTGTGTCCCTGCGCCCGCGTGTAACTCCTCCTGTTTCCCAACCCCACCCCACCCCCGCTGTAGATTTCAGTCGTCTTCCTCCTTGTCTCCATTGAGCATTCCGCGCCCTCCCACGCTTTCCCTCCCCGGCCAATAGGAGGCAAGCGTGCAGCAGGAACAGCCCGGCCAGGGCAAGACCAGTAAGGCTCCTCCTCTTCCTTTTTTGGGGCTGGGCTTTCTCTGCCTTAGCGGCCGACACAGAGCCCGAGCTGGCTCTCTGGCCAAGCCGTTCAGACGTGTGCTTGGGGCCGCAGCACAAAAAGGAGGGAGCATGGATGCTCCCAGTTCCCAGTGAGCGATGGGCAGTCCCACCAGGGCCTACACTGCTGCCAGTTGGGTCTGATCCTGTAGTAATGCCTCCAGGGCTAGTGTTGGACCCCGCATGTGGATGGGTGACAGAAGACCGGTATCCCAGCCCTAAGACCTGGGAGAGACTTGAAGAAAA